GTAATGCTTGTTCCACCGCTTATTTGGGAAGGTATAGAACTTTCGCGCAATCTGATTTACTTGTACAGTTCAGGGCCTGTTTTGTCTTTGTTTAGTGACAGTATAAATGTATGTTACTAAATAATAATGTACATACGTCATTATTTCATCAGTATTGTTCTAGAAAATATTTAAATGTTGTAATAATTAATTAAAAGTATATTTATTAATATCCGTAACAGCGAGCTGAGTACGCCGCGATTTGCCCTAGTTGTCAAGTAACCAGGTCTTGGTTATGTAAAAACACTGAAGTGAGCCTGTGTAGTTATAGTACCTTGATCATTTTTATTAATTTTATTATTGAAATGTATTCGTATCTAATTGCAATATCCATCGGCTCTCATCACCTTCGGAACCCTGCGGCCTGGAAACGGTCACCCCTGCGGACCAGTGCTCTGCCCAATATAATAAACAAGGTTGTGATTGAGAAATGTAATAATTCCATTAATTAATTTTAAAGATGGTTTGTTTCTAAAAAAAAATTGAAATTGATTGTGTAATAACAAATATGTAAGCATTTACAGTGCTAAATCATCTTGATCTGTTGTCCCCACTAACTATTTCTACCCCAGGTATTTCAAATACCTGTTTTCACCGAGCAAACCAAGTTTGCCAATACCAATTTATCAGATACTTTGTATTTACTATATCCTATACTATAATTATAATCCTTTCCTACTAATAAATAGTATAAGTTTGTAAGTTTATATGTTTCTGTGTTTGTATGTTTGATACTGAAGTACGCAAAAATGGCTGAATAGATATGGATGAAATTTGACACACATGGTTTATTACCTGGATCGTGACAGGATACTTTTTATCCGGACAAAGTTGTGGGCGCAGATAGCAGTTTATAAGGTAAACAGTTGTATCAAGGGTCCTTAAACGTGATTCAGATTTCGCGTTTACCTATATCGTGGTTAAAGCACCTAGGTTTTTTTATAACGTACTTAATTTTTTTTTATTAAAAATCACCTCGAAGATAACAGTATCGTTTGTTTATATTATATATATATTGACTTATTTATATGTATCCGTGGCCGAGTGGTACGTACGCCGGGTTTCAAGGTGTCACCTACTCAGAGGTCGCCGAGAACAGAGAACAGGTCCCTGAGAGCCCGGGGGTTCGAATCTGGGTGGGACAAATGTTAGTATGATGAATACGAGCATTTGTACCTAAGTCAGGGGTGTTTATATGTTTCTAGATAAATATACTTATATATCGTATCAGTATTCTATCTGTAACCCTAGTATTCCATTACACAAACCTTACAGTGATTACTTGGGCTAGGCTAATTGGTGTGAGTGTTGGGAATATTCATAATTTATTATTATTATTATGAATGTAACTTGAAAATCCATATAAAAACACGGAGATTTAAGTATATAGGTGCATAGTAAGCAGTAGCCTAGTATCTCTTTAAAAGAAGAAAGAGTTTTTAACAATAACTTACAATTTACTCATTTCGAGGAACAAAATATAAACAGTCCTGTTATGTTACGTACGTCCTACTGCCTGTATCAATTTTGAAATGTTAACCTTTGCGAGTATCTTCTCGGTACTCACAACCTGATTTTTAATAAAAATAAATTATCTATTTATGGTTTACTATATAAAATATTGTTATTTAAACCTCTGATCTTTTACTAGATAAGCATTTAAAGGGCCAAACTTTATTATGAAACAGTATTTAATGTGCCTGGGAGTCACACCTAGAACGACGCATTAACATGTGTCTTTTGTCATTATACAGCTTATATTCTTACAATGCTTTCAAATCAACACATAAAGTTGCAAAATAACATCTAAGGTCAAAAATATCAAAAACCGCGTGTCTGAGATTTTTTATGGCTAAAACGAATTTAAAGATTCATTCACATTAGCAACTACGTTTTGAGGCGTGGCCTGTTCTTGCTATATAAAACCTGCGCTTCACTCCTCGGCTGATGCAATAGGGTGGGTTACTTGCATGATTCTTGTTTATCCTTTGCAACCTCATGCTATGCATTATGATAAAATATCTTAGGCGTTGAGGCAAAAGGTTGAAAATCCCATGTATTCAATAGTGCCAAGTAGTACATATTCATTAAAACAACTTTCGAATGTTGCAAATCGATATAAATAATTTCATAAAAATCTATTATAGTTTACTAATTGAGTAATAATCAAGTACCAGATATGAAGTTTACCATAATTATAATATAGTATAAAATTGGAGTAAGACTTTTAATTACTCATAAATTATAATCATAACTATTATACATTGAGCATGTGTTGCAAATTTATCGATCGGATGTTTGTTGATGATGTTTCTGTATCTGCAGATAATTTAAATAAATTAGATAACTATGTACTTTGAAAAGCACACTTTAAACATAATGATAAAAGTACTACTTTAATTATTACAATTATAAAATAACAATATAATAGATTAAGTAAAAATTAAGAATTCAGATATTTACTCTGCTAAAGTTTTGCATCTGTATTAAAAGCGAGTTTAATTATTACCTGATAGGTTAAGGGCTGGTCTGCTATGTTAGTACTACCGTGAACGCAAATGATTTAGAGAGCGTTCGGAGAGCATTATTATAGGATATTCGTAAAAAAATGTTTTGCTCCAATAAACAATAGAATTCAATTCGTATTTGACTCGGATATCAAGCGAGATTTAGATTATTATTATTAATACGTATTATAAAAAGAAAATTAATATATTATTAATGAAATACTGACGAAGTTTTAAGTTTATTTTTTCTTGTATATTGTGCACTTAAATATTTCTTAATACTTTAAGGAATGAAGATTGGAACTCAATCTCAATATAAATATTGCATTGACTGAAGAAACATTTTTATATTCATGTACCTGATATTTGTATTAAGAAATATAAATTTTATTTTGTGATGCCACAATAAAATAACAAATAGCGATTAAACGAAGAAGTAATTCTATGAAAACACAAATAAAATGGTCACACTAATTTATTGTAATATGTTCCAGTAGCAAGGACGACTAGAACCAGATATATCCAGTTCTATACATAAAATAGCTATTCATTTAGTTTTTAGTATGATAAAATATACAATAAAAAAAATATATGCATCCAGTTCAAATAGTTTGAATTTACATAGTTACCAAATACATAACAAATAGGTTGACATCGTATGAACTCTTGAAACGTTGTTAAATTATTAACGACCCGTTAAATATATATTATATTAATATTAGTTGCGTTTCGGTCCGTCTTGTTGGATAACCTAATAATGCTTTTCTAAATTACCAATTATTTCGTTTGGTCGGTAATTAAGAAAAGCATGACAAGATGAGCAAACACATGTACTGTACACATGTATTTAATTATCTTATTATTACCATATGTGCTTTGGTTATAGACTTTTAATGTTGGTGTTAATATGTAACTAATAGAGCTCTATTGTTTCCTTGACAACCGAACAATGTTGTTCCAAGAAGTCTCGTTTAATTTATTACCACTGCTCATTTAACTGATAAGTCTACAAAAGTAGTTAATGTGTTGTTTTTTTAAACTATGTTGTTCACTGTACAAAAAAAAGCACAGAACTAGAACAGTCCTGACATGTATAATTAGTTAATTATATAACAATAGATAGAATTTATTGTTATAATAGAAACTACAAATTATAACAAATACAGAATGTCATGTTTTTAAATGTGGAAGAGTTTTAAATATGTGTACGTATTATAAAGTACCTACCTAATCCAATTTGAAAAACTGATTTCTTCAATTTAATTATTTGCGTAATGCTACGATACGCAAGAACTCACTTCGAAAATAAAATAAATGAAACGAAGCATGAAATAAATCCTCGGTTATAGGAATTCCTCTAAGACGACCGATATATACCTTGCATTCCACAAAGGTTTGCAATAAGCAAAAATTGAAATTAAAAAACGAGTAATTTTTCTCCTTTAAAAACAATAAACAAAATCATACACGATTATAAACAATTTAAAGTTAATAAATGCGAATATAACACTCAACCCAAGTTCTTCACTTTGTATTCGTGGTTACCCTAGTGAATAATTTGCACAGAATGAAATGAACCTTTAGTGCATTGAAATAAAGTTGCAAAGATTCGTTCTTGAACCGTACCGCGATAAGAGTATAGTATTTTTATCTCTTCCGGTTCTTTTCTGTGCTTATCAAACACTCGGCCACTATAGGAAATAGATAACAATGACTTTTATTGTGCGATAAACTTGATTGCTCGCCATGACACGATCAATCCTATTAAGCAAGTGGATTCTATTTAAAAATGCACGTGCATCTATGGATTACCGATTTGAGTCTACCTAATGATTTACCATATAATGACGAAAGGTTTCCACGCTTGATGATTACCTATTCATTGTAATACATGTAAAAATAATAGGTATTATTCCAGGAACTCGATTAACACGGCTCGCTCACGGACACAATCTCGCGAAGATTATATAAATAAAATAAAAATCATCTCGAGCTTTTTGTATCCGTACGTTTTAAGCAAAGCTTGTATCAGCAGGTTACAAATTCATTATACCATCTACTGCAGCCTATAGAATTTCTCCCTGAACCATACTCCATAGAAGTTTCCGACAACTCTAGAATTTTTGTTATTGCAGAAAGGAACGCATTACAGTATGATGTGTTTTTATGAGCTGTTGGTCTCCCAAAAATTAAATAAATAAATATAATCTGCCCACAGATCAAAACGCAAAAACTTTAGAGAACAACGGCCTGTATAATATGTCATACCTACTTCTTTCCCTTCCTACTTCTTTCCTTCGAGACTCTTTAAAAGAAGCACTATAAGCAACTTGCAGGCCGCGGTAAGGACGACTGATGTAAGTATATATTGTAGAACGCAAAACTGCTGCACCATCTTCGCGTCTGGATGGGTATCATTTTCTCGAACCTACAATTAACGGTAAATGTACTCACGTGCTTGATGGTATAGTGCAAGATGCTCTCGATGTAGGTAGGCAGCTGGTTGACGACGGTGAAGTAGCCGAAGACGGAGGCACCGTGGGTGATGATGATGGCCCACACCGGCGCAGACAGCAGCATGCTGCGCCACGGCACTGGCATATGCTGCGAAGCATTACAATAATATGAGTAATGTACTAGATACATTAGACAAGAAAGCGTGTTAGTATCGTTTTAAGAAATAAAATAAAAAAGATTATCATTTTTGGAAATCACTCGCGCGGTCTAAGACCTCATCGCATAGAACAGTAGGTTCAACTTATTATATGTATGTGTTAATATTGCTACCCGATCGTAGCGATCTTAGCAAAGAAATAGGTAGGTACTAATTATCTTTTGCCATCTCTAAAACTGATATCCTCCGCCCCCTCAATTATATATTTTTGTGGTAACGTTTTTTTGACAAATTAAAAGTTCAAAAAAATCCAATTTAAAACAGAATCGTCGTTTTAAGTTTAATAAGAAAAAAAAAGCAAATGTTACACAAATAAACAACTTAAAGCTGCGTGACTAATATCAGTTCAGATTAGTTAAAGTCTTGGTTGTCATAAAAACAGCAAACAATCGCTAAATGAGGTTCAGCCACAATATGTTTAAATTTTATATTATAATGTCTAATCCAATTGAACTTTTTCGATGGTGAATACAATATTGGACAAAGAGAATACTATGTTCTTAAATAATATTTAAGGAAGAGCAATTCAGGCTCTTTGCCTTATTTAAAGAACGGCTACTTGTGGCCTTTAGAACATTTCACAAGTCACAACTAATCCAAAAACAGGCGAACTAAAAATGACTCCAAAAAAGGCAATATGTTTTGGGGACAACAAAACTACGGTACAATGACAAACCGTGGGTTATGTTCTTATCAAAATGTCAAGATGCGCCTCCGATGTTGCGCAACCGCAGTCAGCAATCGTAAAACGAATGGTCAGTATAGGGTTACTCATAATAATATTCTTTATTGAAATTTTAAATGACAAGATGCAGGATGTTACGCACTGGTTTTTTTCTACAAATACCTTTTAATAAGTTAAATTTAATTTTACGACTGTATTTTGCTATCGATGTTATACGAAATATAACAGCATAATATTTTTTATTCGTAAATATAGCTTAGTAAAAACAGCTAAATAAATACTGGGGTCCGATTTAATTTGGAGGGAATAAATGGAATGTTAAACCGAAGTTTCCAAAATGTTCGCAAGAATGGCAACCCTACCTCACGGTTTTTGCCTGATTGCAATACAAAACAGTTTTGGCAACGTCGCCAAGGTAAACGGTGCGCCGCCGCCGTTGCCGAGCGCATTCATTTCAATACTTTAGTATCGAACCACTGAGGCGAAGGTTGCTTGTAAAAAATTAATGACCAGGATATTATTGAGATGTAAATTAATTAAAATAGAGATGGTTTCTACGGCGAATTCTGTTTAATTGAAATTAAAGGAACAAAGGACAATGTTAAAATTGGCCTAAGAACCAACACCAATTTGGCATTTATGATAATTCTTAGTATATTTTTTGCGATAATTATCAGTATTTAGATACTGACGGACACTTCCAGTTAAGTAAGCTAAATTAAAAAGTTAAAAAATAATCTGAGACAATAAATACCATTTTATGTGTTTAATCTATGGCAGCGCTGCAAACAAAACACTCTTTCTTCCTAATGTCGGCACTTCACTTGGCTATTCGTATTTGCTATTTTAAAACATGACATCAGTCTGTCCTTTTCATTCTTTATTAAGCATGACAAGGACAAACTTTTGTCAAGTGAAGGGCCGGCATAAAACTTGTTACTCTGTGGTTGTGGTGCATGCAGTTTCATAGTAATCTGTGGCATTCGATTAATATACCGGAAAGTGCATTCTCGTTTCGGATTACCTGTTGTGTGTGTTTATTTGCGATTGTTTTTCCTTTAATTTAACTATTTTGGCTATCTAATATGCCATCGAAGTTACCAAAGAGCGGAGACCTTATTACCAAGTGCTAGTGAACCTGTGCCACAACATCCTGAGAGGATCATACTTACTGCCAAATTATTCAAGAGCACCTGATACACATTCACGCTGCATATATACACAATATATATGTGATATACAAATAAATTCAATAAACAATATGATACATTTATGGAAAAAATAGTCAATAAATAAGATGCAAAACTACAGTTTTTATTTTATTCATGATTCCTACCTAACCAAGTTTTTCCTAATAGTTATTCTTTAAAATCGCACCGAATTAAATGAATTAGTTATAATATTAATTCACTTCATACTGAGTTCATACTAAATTCACAGGTTGACCTATGTTTCATTGAATATTAAACATAACCTCAAAAAAATTTTAGTTTTCCTAATAATTTAAGTTCTCAGAAGTGTCCGTCAATAATCTTTGTTTTTACTGTCATTTACTTACGATTTTGAACCTAGAAAATAATATTTCATGATTGTTGGTTCTTAGGCTAACTATGTATGGACGCTGAACAATGTCCTTTATATAGTTCTACTTAATGACAAATGTATGTTGTCTATGCCTACACCACATCCGGGTCATGCCGTTAAGATTATACAAGATACGTTTCAAACAAATGTTAATTTAAGAATAAGAAATCAAAGCTCGTTAATAATAAAATAACACAGACACTTGAAGATCTGTAACGGACGTAATAAAATTTATTGTTACTAACTTAGAATAAAACTGAGAGAAGCCAAAGTAATTTATTTTTATTTTATTTTTTAATAGTAAAAGGTCACATTAACACTAGACACAAATAAAGTTATTCCTCGCAAGATACATAACAAGGTGTTTGGTAAACACTGTATAAAGCCAAAACAAAATTCCTCTTTAACATGTCTAAATAGAAACGTCAAAAAATTTTTAAAATAAGTAAGTATTATCCATACAAATTACCGATATTCGAGTTAAAGTAAAACATAAAGGGTCATTGGTATGAAGTGGTTTTGTTTTAATTTTCATCTTTCTACATTAATATAAATATTATGGTAACAATTAAAATGGTTACGTTTCAACTTATACGGCGTTTATCAAACACCTTGTATATTTTTATAAGAACTATGTCCAATAGACTGGTTTACTTGAGGTCATACTATCTATTTTGTGGTCCTACTTCCATATGTATGTATTCCATAGGTCACTCACCCCTTTTGTGTTGTTCTCCTGTGGCAACGCCTTCATGAGATAGTTCCTCTCCGTTTCGGAGATGCGCGGATGCTGAGCAGGCGAGTCGTAGACCATAGCGAACCAGGCAACCGACCACATCACCCCGATTATCCCTGCAACGGAATCTAAACTTTAACCCCTGTGGTTAAGGTCCAACATGCTTTGATCAAATTAAAAGGAAACTCCTGTTTAAGAAATCATTCTATCTTTGCCAAAAAGAGAACAAAACTCAAACATGATAAGCTTTTAAAATTTATTTAGGAACTTTGGTGCAAGTCATAGATAAATGATTGGTCGCTACGATAGCGAGACCAATCATTTATCTATGGTGCAAGTGGGCCTTACATTGCGAAATCGTAAAGGCTTTTGGAGATGAGGTTAAGTCTAGAAATGGGGGAGAAGAAAAAATATATCGATATTTCTACTCTGTACTATCGATACATTCAGTCTTTTGACTAATTCAATAACTTGTATAGCGTATCCAAACGTACCATACACACAACGAACTTTTCAAAGTCAAATTGGCAGGTCAAACCTGGGTTGCGTCCAGAACCTACGCAGCAAATGTCAAGATTGACATAACTTTCATGCATTATATGTCCAAATTGAAACGTCAAAGCAAAAAGTTGCATTCAGAGCGTAGGTCCTGAACGCAACCCTGTCAAACGCATGTTTTTTTCATTGGTCTGCTTTGTTTTGGTTTTGGAATATTGTTAATGCACCATTTAGCAAAAGAGAGAAAAAATATTTCCAATTAGATACCTATAGTTTTCTTTGAGAAGTCCTAAATAAACTAGTTAAGGAAAGTAGTGGTTTTTATAAAAATAAATAAGTAAGAAATTATTTTCGTCTACCTACTTTTTAAGTTTTCCGTAAAATACTTTTTCTTAAGTGTACTTATATTTTTTATAGCATCGTCTGAAATATACTATAAATATTTCACTGAAGAAATGTTGGCAGCCCTTGTCGTCATCGTCACTGAATAAATTTAAATAATTTATAACATGAAACAATCAATAAAACAAGTTTATCGCTAGATTATTTACCTCTTTACGCACATCATTATAATGCAAGTGATGAGTTGGCAATATGTTCCTGACAAAATGTATTCTGATAAACAGAATATTAGAAGAGATCATTGCCAAAGTATGCATGCAAGGTCGTGGTATAGATAAATTCACAAAAACGCACATTCGTAGAAATGAGTAAACATGCTCACGCTTACGCAGACGCGAATCTCGACCTTAAACGCATCAGCATTCTCCCGAGATTACAAAAAACCACAAAATAGATAGCACAGAAGATAATCTGGATACAGCGTGCGCTCGAGTAACGCACACAGAGAAAAAACAAATATTGTGTTAAATAAAACTAGCTTTTCACGGGTTAATGCACGAAACTTTATTTATTTATTGACGTTTCGTACGTTACAGGCTACGTCGTCGGAATCTTTTTTTTTATATATTTTTTTTTAGTAAATTAATAAAAGTTTCGTGCATTAACCCGTGAAAAGCTAGTTTTATTTAATGAGTGATGTGCGTGAAAACCTAAAAAACAAATATTGTGTAATTTGTTTTTACCCGAAGAGATTGTGTCCGGAATCGAGAGATGGGACGGTGTCATTTTGTGTGTTGCTGATGTAGGTTTGGAGTAGGAATAAATAAATAAAGGATAGGAAACTTATGATGGTGAACTATTCATGCTTTTGACGACAATGCGGGCTAAGTACATAAATTTTATAACACCTATTATTATATTTGTTTCTTAGGTTTTCACGCACATCACTCATTAAATAAAACTAGCTTATTTTTATTTGAAACGTCAATAAATAAATAAAGTTTCGTGCATTATCCCGTTTAAACTAGTTTTATTTAACACCTATTATTTTCGAACGTGTTATGTGTAAACAAATAAAAAGACCGCTATTAATACACAACACTCTACAAACAAATAAACAACATCAATGACATCTGTTTTTATAGTAACTTACGTGTGATAAAATACACGTTAAGTTATAGGTAAATAATGGAGTAAGGTTTCCAACGCTTATGTATGGCATGACATTCAATCTTATGTCCGCACTTCACTTGGCTATTCGTGTTTGTTATTTGTCATCAAGACTACAAGTTGTCCTTATCACACTTTATAGAGAATGAAAAGGTGAGACTGTTGTCACGATTATATTATCGACGACAATACGATGATATTGTCAAATAGCAAACAAAGGCAAAACAAAATATGTATATACTTTGACAAATCAAAAATCTGCAAATTTATTCCGCTACCCATCATTGGGTAAAATAATGTTAAACGAAAATCCCAGCCAATCCCATAAATCGTTGTGTTGATTGATTTTTTTCGTCCCGCCCACTTGATCGCAGTTTGCTTGGAACCACTTTTCAGCATAATTCGAATACTATACAATTTCTAATTCGTTGTTTATTGCCGAATACCAAGAAATTTAAATGACTATAGTTTAATGTATTTACTTAATACCAAGGCTGGCTACGACGACACATGCAACGATTGACAAATGAGGTAACAAAAGATGTTTATCAGGCCCATAACCTAACCCCGTGGGAAAAAATCTGACCTTAAATACAAACCTTTAAAACTATCTCTCAAAAAATACATTTCTAACGTTTAAAAGCTATTGTATGCAAAATCCTCATACTGTTCATCACAGATTAACTCACGTGAGTTTGGCAAAATAAACTCTATCGTATCGGCATAAGAGCGTCGCCTTGCGATGAATCATGAGAAGTGCAAGGGCGCCGCTCCACTGCCGTATACGGTTAGTATTGTATACATGCAAACCCTCTTCGAAACAAACTGGTCAGAAGGCCAAACGTCATTTCGCACATAATGGATGTCTCACGACTGTTCAACGCCCAGTATATGGACTCCGTAAAGAATGCAAACAATCGTTTCAACACCAGCTGGTAGAATGGTCAACGACCCTGACCGCGTGTCTGCGAAAAATACGGTCGCGGGTTCGACTCTCGCAGGAGCCTACTGTTTGCTTTATGAATTGTACGTGATTGTACTGTACCGATGACCAAGTGCTAATAATTAAAATAAATGCACTGCTTATTGTTGCGTTCCTGTTACTGTATCATATATTACTGTAATATACATATAGAAATACATTAGCAGCTTTAGTTTACTCTTCTCACGCACTATGTCTCAGTGTAAACTAAGGCAGCGCTTGCGTCATCCCCTCCCAAGGGGTGATCGCGTCCGATTTCGCCTTAACAGCCATCCCGGCTAGAGGCGCATTGCGGAGGGTGACCATTCCCATTACCTACGTCGGCCGTAAAAAAAAAATATTTTAATTTTTAACAGACTTCAAAAAGGAGCAGGGGCCCAATTCTCGCGGCGTAGATATTATATCGGCTTCGAGATAATATCGAAAGTAGGGATATCTATTGAAAATATCTACTGATGGTAAAAAATGCTATTCTCGTGGATTTTCGATATTCCAATGATATTGTATCTATCGTAGATATTCTTTCACTGCCGAATGCATTCCGTTTTTCTCGATTAAGTTAACATCATAGTCTATATAAAATAATAATAATTTAGAGCAGAATTTTACAAGCAACAAAATGATATTTTATGAATTCCATTCATATTAAATATGAGTATATATTTTTTGAGTGTAAGAAATCTCAACTTTACCTAAATTGTATGAGTATATAATTTCAACGTTATGTATAATGAAACGTCAATATTATTTAAGATTCTCCCTTTTCAGGGAAGGCAAAGGGAACAATGCCCATAAAGCCTAGTTTTTAGTTATATTAATCTTCTTTTTTTACATTCGAATGTCGGTGTGACGCATTCTAATGTTTCTTGGAGTGTTTGGCACGAAATTTATGGAGTTGGCTTTTTCTCTAGGCTTCTGTGAGGTAGTCAACACTACAATAAAGTTCTCGCGTCCACTTGACCGGAATAGCGTATATTTTTAAGATTCCACTAATTCTTCAGTTGCGCAGACGGTTGTAACACCAAATTACACCAATTTTATTTCACAATATCCACTATGAACGAATTTTAGAATAATTAAAATAAGATGCCAACCGCACTCGCAGAAATCCCGCCAAAACTCCGTATCGTCAATAAGAAAATGGTGTCGATTCTGGCATGATTCTCTAAACCTAAACGTAAATTTGACAACAGTGTATCCTCCATACAGAATGAAAAGAAGAGACTGAAATTAAATTTAGTTTTAAGTTTAGAGACTCGTGTCAGAATCGATACCAATGTCATTCATAACTTTAAAGATTTCTAACCAAATTTTTGTTTAAACGTAATTTTTGAAGTTATACTTCTTTAGGCGCGTTATGAAAAAATGATGAGAGTGAAATTTTAAGATGCGCGCGCATCACTGTAACACAAAAAATTAACAGCATGAAGTTTTCCGCACATTAAGAAAATCTACCAACAAAATAGAAATAGAATCTCTATTTAGTGGGTGCTAACGACTGCATTGTGAAGGCCTATCAAAAGTATTTATTAATCTGGAACAACGGAACCAAAGCGCGATTCAGGAGACTACAGCGCCATCTCTTGACCATTGGTGTAGTAGAACAAAAACCACATCATCTTTTCAAATTAAAACTGAACTTTATTGACTGTGTCCTTTTCCAGACTTTTTATTAATTTATTGTAATTAATTATTTGCATGCAATTAAAAATTAATTTCAAACGATGCCAAAGAAGGATAACTTCTCACGCGCCTACATAAGTACACGCACCCATTTTTTATGAAGTCGGCGTCCCTCATTTCAAATGGGCCCTCTTGCTCTCACGACGGCGGCGCCTTAGCACAGCAGCAGCAATCACGTCATTTATTAAATCATTGACGAAAACATGAATCAACTGATCCATCGTTAATATAAACTGGTGTCGATTCTGGCACGATTCTCTAAATCTAAACTTAAACTTGACAACAGTGGTGCCGATTCTGGCACGATTCTCTAAACCTAAACTTAAATTTGACAACAGCGTATCCTTGTCATTCTCTATACGGAATGAAAAGGAGAGATTAATGTTAAATTAAGTTTTAAGTTTAGAGAATAACGCTAGAATCGACACCAGTGTTTCCTTGTCATTCTCTATACAGAATGAAAAAGAGAGACTGATGTTAAATTTAGTTTTAAGTTTAGAGAATCACGCCAGAATCGACACCATTGTTTACCTACTTCTTTATTTACTAACTAGTGGCCCGCCCTCGCTTCGCTTCGGTGTAGAGCTGTAGTGTAAACTATAGTTTTTGTTCTCAGGCTTGTGCTATAAAGAATGACTTTATTTATATAATTACACGTGCTATTGTGAGTCAACTATAAAAGATAGACATATGCTGTTGCGGGATATTTTTTAGACAATTTCATGTAGAATATTTCCGTCATACATGATTTCTATGTAACTTTAACCATTAAGGCTGCACCCGAGCCGGAAGCTTAAAAAATGGAGTAACTTCTCCCGTTTTCCCAACATTTCCCTTCACTACTCTGCTGCTTTTGATTGTAGCGTGATGAAAAGTATACTATAACCTGCCCAGGAGTATGAAGAATAATTGTACCAAGTTTCGTTAAAATCCGTCGAGTAGTTTTTGTTTCTATAAGGAACATACACACAGACAGACAGACAGACAGACAAAAATTTTACTGATTGCATTTTTGGCATCAGTATCGATCACTAATCACCCCCTGATAGGTATTTTAAAAATATATTTCATGTACAGAATTGACATCTCTACAGATTTATTATAAGTATAGATTATTTATGAAGGCAGATAACAACATCTTGAGGTAACAATAATTGGCAAAGACACACGACAACACAAAAAATAATAGGTAAAAAAAGTGGAAATAACAAGATTGACACGCCAAGATCCATAGATATTTATATATCGAAGGCTCTTTACCAGTCGATGTATGTCTACTGATCATCCGTAGATAAATATCTATTGCGACATGGTGAGAATAGGGCAAAAAGGTTTTCCTTCGATAAAAGCCAGATCATTCGATATATATCGAAGGTGATATAATATCTATGCCGCGAGAATTGGGCCCCAGGTTCTCAATTCATCACTATATTTTTTAATTGTTGTTCGCGCATATCTCCGAAGTGGAGGAGAGTCACCCTTAGGGTTGACAGGTCGCCAAATCTAATAAGCCGGACAGATCAGCCAATTTGGCCGGACACCCTACACTATTGAGGATTTTATTGCTCGGTAATATTAGGTAATATTATATCAACTCGTTTGCGCTCGGCCACGCTCGGCGCTCGCTCGTTTGCGAAATGTAAAAAATCCCGGTGATCAGCGATATGTTAATGTCACGCGATCAAAAAGCTTAATTAAGTCCGGCTTTATCCGAACGAATGGCAACGCTAGTTAGTCTTCTGCTGTCACATCGACTTACCAGTGAAGTAGAACGCAGACTCCCAGCCGAAGTGCGCTATTAGGAAGCCACAGATGGGCATGGTGATCGCCGCGCCCAGAGACGACGCTGCAAACAAACATCAAGTTAATTACTACTATTTTAAGAAACTTATCGCTTAATACATTATTTTTCTTCCTCTTGATTATTGACGGTACCATTTTGGCTCAGTGCTTTTAATAGTATTAAGCATTGAGCCAAAAAGAATACACTACAATGTTGCTTAGGATGTATCCTGACATGTATGTCATCACTGCTTTTCATCAATGTCCGTTGTATACATCGATAAGAATGGACGCTTAAATAGATTTATCTGAAATTTTCGATTTAATGTTAATCTTTAAATGCAAAGCGGCACTGAACAATCGCGTAACAAATACGTACAAATTTACTGACATGTCTAAACAAAGTCTGAACCATCCGCCTACCTCATGATGTGGAGTTTGTTACCCAATCACGCAAAAACGGTTGAATAGATTTGGCACACATGGTAGTTTATTACCTAGGTTCCAGTCAGATTCTCATAAAACTAAAGCTAACGAGGACATAGCCGCGGGCGGCTGCTAAGTAGTAAATTACCTAATTATTATACCATAAACATGAATCATAATATTTTTTTTAGTATTACTTCATTCTTACGTCTTACGCGTACCTTTTTTCAAATTTCCACGGAAAAAAACGAAAATTTAATAAAATATAAACAGAGTCTGTGCGAAAAGAGAATGGGATTTAGATTGGAGGGCGCTGTAGTGCTTTTCTACCGTATTTGTAAGGTTTTACCCTTTTTAGACATGATTAAATACAAAAAACCGCAAGAAATCACAACAACAAATAAATCAAAACTTTGACGTTTTACAAATTGCTGGGTTTGATTGCCAAATAAAAATCTTAATGTTAGTTCCGTTTTTCGCCACGCCCATTCTCTTTCTGCGCAGACTATAGGTATTCAGTTACAGGCAAGAAAAAATGTGTTTATTACATAGCAATAGAAGCTATATTCAGAGCGCTAGTGGCAAGCAACCACGACTGACTGAACCTTCTTCGTCAATATGGCCCAGTCTAGACGATCACGAGACGGAGGCAAGTTTGGCGACTTGCATGTTTACCAGTCAAATGCCGTATTAAGAATTTCACGTGAGCATGAACTTGGCAATTATCACTGGCTTCTAGTCAAAAGTTTCTAAACATTCGATAATGTAAATCCGTGACGTGTTATCATATCAATAATGGTTGTGGTCAGTAATATTGGCCTAAGGAATAACATAGCTGTGATTTTGCAATCAGCTAAAGTAAATTATGAGAGATAAGAGGGCACAGCGCCTTTCCCGCTACACCGGTCGGAGACACCAGAAGAAATGTTCCTTCTGATTTGGAAATTGATAGTACAATGCTTTTCAATAGGTTCCCTTGTACGTTGTTTTTCTTGACACCAGTACCCCAAGCACGAACCAATATCGAATTCGTATCGTTTGCGAGTCCGAAATGTCATTGTCAAGTGTGTACTGATTTTTAGTTCTCGTTACGTACTTTGTGCCGCTGCTGTTCAAGTTTCTATACAAAATTTGATATTGTCATTTCGGACTCGCAAACGATACGAATTCGTTATTGGTTAGTGCTAAGGATACGGTACCTCAAGCACAAATCAATATCAAATTCGAATAGTTTCGATCAGTTGGTGTCGACCCCAAGACAGTTACGTTTTGGCTATTCGTCTCCTATGGTAAATGACAAAATTACGGATACCTATCTTGTGTCAAATACTCTACTTCCGTTTCATCCAATCTCAAATCACAAACATGCTAAAGAAGTTTCTCTTCAAAAACATTACATTACGTTACAAAATGCTATGTCGTTACAGCGCGAGCTTCAAGGCGCATACCAGTTTAAGATTAAGAGCCCTTTCACATTTTATGCAATAAATTGCAATTTTTGAGCACCTCGTTTACCCCCTTAGAAGAGATTTTGTCTATTTCCAATAGAAGTAAACGAAGAAAAGATTTATTCTTCTTATTGAAAGTTAATGTAGAATATTTGCAAATACTATTTTCCTTTTTTTGTACTGATTGTTCTACCGCAGCTAGTTTACGGAAAAAACGATAATATGCACAACTTCAAACGCCTCAATCTCTCAATAATGTTCAATAAATTATCAAATTAATTACTACGACATCAGAAATATGTTTTTGTTGTAACATAATGTATTAGAATCTTGATTTTCCATCTCATTAATTATTAAAAATACCCCGTTTCTCCGTATTTTGATAATGAATTAAATAGAATTACTATCAAAAACTTTCAGAAAAATTAATCTACAATCATTGAACTACCGAAATATGTACTCGTAATACGTAGCATACCTAACAAAGGTAACATTAATTACAATTTTTCTCTCTAATTCATCGTCATGCCGTCGATGTATTAAGTAATGAGACATAAAATATAAATATAAATAAATATATAAATATAAATAAATATATAAATATGTTATATATATTTAGTTATTTAGGTATATTTATAGATGTTAATTATTATATTAAGTAACATGTAGTTTTATGAATTTAATTTTGTTTTTCTTTCTCTTTTACTATAATGCTTTTATTTACTTGACCGCATAATGTCTCTGCTTAGCCCGATGGTTGACTGGTAGAGAATGCCATGTGGCATTAAGTCCGCCATTTGTTATTAAACAATAAAGAGTAAATAAATAAATAAAATATATCTGTGTAGTATCTACAGCACACAGATGTGTGCTCGCATATTAAACAGAGGAAAACTTCCATCGCTACTCATTAAGATATACAATTCAAGCAGTGACATATTTTCAGAAAATCTCTCATAGGGTTGGCAAAAATCTCGTTTATTATGTGAACTTCGGCTAACAATAACGTAGAATGAATGGCTTCAATTCAAAGCGATAATTTAGTTAGATTCTAGTGTGTGGTTTTAATATATCAACATAATTGGGACATAATATAGCTATATATCATGTAATGGACAGTTGGCCTAAAAACATCGTTGACGTCATCGGATCAATGAAATTCGTTTCGAAGGAACATTGAAAACAGTTGTGGTGTTTGATATATCTTGTTCACCGAAATGATTGCGAATGAGTAAGGGTTTTTATGTTAATTAATTCAAAGATGACTTATTAATTAGGTTTTTTTAATAATAAACTAGAACAAAGTAATACCTACCACGGTTGATTTAATGGAACTGTAAACATAAATATGTAAAGAATTGCTTTCCTTCATTATAAATTTAATTTAAAAATAACACGTAGTTTCCTAAAAACTGGGGGTCTACTCTCTTTCTCCGAAACGAACTTTCCATAACGAAGTTCAAACGAAATTTAATTTTGTCGATTTAAGGTCTTATTTAATTTGAAGGATAAACTATCAAATTTCAGCATTCTTTAAGTAAGCTTAGAAAGTCTACACCTCAATCTATATTGCGGCGACGAATATTATTATCCAGAAACATAGTAAGAAAAGTGCGAAGTTTCGATCGAAATTTCGTTTTTCGTTGAACTAGAGTAGGCCTCCTGGTGCGAGTAACTTCCTATTTCCGTTTTTTGTGGCACTTTTTGCAATTTCAAAATTTTTGTTGTATTGTCGTCTGTCATACGTTTTCCCCTTTCGCAGATATAGAAAACCTTGAAATTTATTTGGTTCTGCGGGATTTCAAACAATCTATTGATTTAATACTTTTTAATAATATCACATAAACTTGAGACAGCTAGTAAAAATTTTCTTTACATTTTAACAACTACCTATTTAAGTTAACTTCGTCAGAAAAATTGCTACGGTTCCAAGGCAAGTACCCCTAAATGACTTGTGTTAAGGTAGTTATATTTTGTATGAGTCCCGTCTAATTAAATAATAAATAATAATTATTATTAATGATTTAATTAAACAATTAATCTAATTAATGTAATTAATTAATTATAATAATTACTTAATTAGACCGGTAATTTTTTCTAATAAAATTTCTTTAGATCTTATGTTTTTATAGTACTTAGAAATAAAAAAGCGCATACGGAATGATTGACTACACCGGGAAATAAACCAGGAACTTCCGAGTTCAGGACAATTGTAACAAAATTTATCATCAATATTCAGTTTGTAGTCCCATTATTTTTTTCGTTGATATAGTAGTATCAAATAATTCGGATTCCAAGGGGCTTGGCAGCCCTAAAGAGGGCAGACACATTAATAGGAAATTTACTATCGCGTTTTAGGTCAACGCATTCGCATGACGTAAAATACTCGTCGACATTGTTCAATGGCCTACCTAACCTAAATGAAATGTAAAACTTATGTTTTGCATAATAATTTTTGTGTAGTTACGTAAGCAAAGTAATGTGTTAAAACAGTAACTTCTTAATATTGAAAGAAAAACTACACCTAACAAGTTTCTGCACGGCTAGTTAATGTATGGTTACAATTGTTTCTAGACAAAATCGTAGACTCGAGCAATAATAACGATATTACGTTACTTACGACGTAGCTGTGAGAAATGAGAATATGAGTATTATGCAATAAGGATATTGACTATTTTTTGAAGTGAAATACCCTTTTCGGACGGGGTGTAAATGGAAACGTCCTATGGAAAACATGAAACGGAAATTCGTCACGAGCGTCACACGACAATATATATATATATATACCTTATGCTACCGCCGCCCTATAATGGTCAGTGCATTCGCACGGATAGCGAAGGGTGCGGGCTCGAGTTTCGTCTGCTGCCAGGGGGCCATTCGCCTAACGGAAATGCTTTGGAAAACGCTAACGCTTACGATTTCATTTTGTTATTTCTAGCCGCCTGAGGTTTTCAAATGCCTCGCGCTTATTTTTTTTAATATTGTTATTACCAATGCAAAAAAAAGAGCGCGAGGCATTTGAAAACCTCAAGCGGCTAGAAATAACAAAATGAAATCGTAAGCGTTTTCCATAGCATTTCCGTTAGGCGAATGGCCCCCTGGTCCGCGTGGAATTTTTCTAATTATATTTTCCTTAGATTTAAAAGTGTAGCATTTAAATGCTTAAAAACTAAAAACATAAGTCTTTAGTAATTTTTGATAATCTAACTGACGACTAAATAGAATTTTATTTACTTTACCCCATCATCAACCCTATTGTCGACCACCTGTCGACTCTACGGTTTAAGCTAACTACTTAGTTAGTTTCCTGGTAGAAGTAATGAGTAATATTTACACTGTGTGCGTTGGCATCACGTGAGATGGCCCTTGAAAAGTATTTAAGCAAATCACCTATTCTGTGTCTTCAAGGTCTTTTACTCAATATACTGCTTGTATTGTTACTGTATTGTTGTCCATTAAATAAGAATAAACGCGACGTATTATACACTGACGTACCTACCAATATTTCTTAAAAACTTTAAGAATTGTTTATAAGTTCGGTTGTGAAAGTGTGAAAAGATAAATGAATATTGTTTATTAATCATTGGCAATAATAATGTACCTATGAAATACCATAATGAAGAAACCGCTTTTTTCAATAGAAGTTAATGTGAAAGAGTATTTAGTTTGGTAAATAGTTTATATACTCAAGACAGGAATTGTATGACTTTTGATTTGATAAAAGCTGTACTACTAATACAATTAAAAATTGACGAAATTTATTAAATTTTAGAGCATTGCTAAACACAACAAAGGAATCAAGATTTTAAATACGCCCCTGTCTCCAGACAAAAACCCGAAATCAAGACATTTTGAAAAATTCCTTAGATATTTTGAGTTTTTGATCTGGCAATCCTTAATCGACCACGTGGTAACGACGACCCCACTACAATGTAGCGAGTTCGACTCATGTAAATTGTCTCAATGTCTAATTTAATTACCATTTCGACATACATTGCGGTGGGTAATTAAATGCTAATGAACTGAGGAAATATCCAGGCACACGAAGCTAAATTTTACGATTTTCCTTAAAACTACCTAGACCCAATTCACAGAGGACGTTTTGCCAAAGGGCGAGTTTTACGCACTTGTGTTGTCGTGATGTGAATATTATAATTGTGCCCAAATCAACTTCCTGTGTGCATAAACTTGATAAGTTGACATAGATAGTTAACATAGGCAGAGGAGCACAGAACAGATGATCGTCTTAAGTAGGGTGCCACCTCTTTTTAAAGCGAATAAAGTATTTTATGGTGGAATTTGTTTTTTAACCTACATGACGCGATTTGCCCGGGTCTCAAACTAAACTCAAAAACAATTTGTTCTTCAAACCAATACGTGTGTGTCTGTCCTATCCGGTCTTAATAAATGATAAAGACACTTCCAAAGTGATAAAATATGCCCCCCCCTCCCCCCCCGAAACTTCTTAAATAAGAGAATGATAAAACTAAAAAAAATATAATGTACCAAGTATATTACCTACCATGCAAACTTCCACCGAAAATTGGTTTGAACGAGTATATAAAGAAGTAGTTTTGTTTTTAATAATTAATTAATTTAAAAAAATACACTATTATTAAAACATCGATCATAGTTACAACTAATTACAAGTACTTTTTTAATATGTTACTTGCTGCTACGGAACCCTTCATGGGCGAGTCCGACCCGCACCTGGCCGATTTTTTTCTATGCTAGGTTACATTGTTTTTCAAATAGAATCGAAAGCGGTCGAAGAGAAGTTTCTTGAATCGCAACGTGCCGCTGACTCGTTCCTACCATTAAGATATGACTCTATGTTCTGTATGGAAGATTAATAGTAGATTTAACAATAACGTCATCGTAGTTGAATTGAATACAAGTAAACGTAAAAAGATAATATTCAAAAATAACCTGCATGTAGCGTTCACAAAAGTGAAAGTTAGTGCAGTATCACATAATGCTATCATCATAACCAGACTTTTAGATCCAGAAAAATGGACCTTAAGTTTAATGTACTAAATACTAGTGTATCGAGTACAAGACGTTGAACTTTCGATCCCGCGCTATTTAAATGCGTGGACTGGTGTATTGGATCCATTCCATTCATCGTTAATCAGATGGTAACAAAAGCGACGTTCGCGCAGGGTGACAATGCATTACGTGTTTCGAATACAAGATACGATACAATTAATTCAAATATGGGGTTTATTTGAAATAATACATTGTATTGTATTATAAAATCTTTACAAATGTAATAAATAATAAATAAATATTGCCAATAATGGAGTTGTAAGAAAATAGTTGTAGTAATATACATCAAAGTTTAATTTATATATAACCTACTTATATAGTTTTTGTAAAAACAAAAAAAAACTGCTAAACTGTACTTCAAGCGCCCAAGAGGTGTACTTGATTTTTTTTGTTGAAAAGGTTGTTTTCACAACAGTAACCTAACCTTGTATGTATGTTCAGTGAACTAGTTCCAAATAAAGTTATTATTATTAATATAGATGGTTAAATGTGACTACAATTAAAATACCCCCTACAGATAAAAATAAAATATTTCTAAGTTTTACACAAAGTAATATGTGATTGACGTGAACTATAGTGACACTCCAGTATAGATGAAACCACGCGGCCTATAAGGCCTACTTGCAGCAAATTTGCTAAATCTTGTTTGAGTCAAATTGAGATTTATCAAAATCGTTGCAAGTAGGTCGTATCAAATTCTGAGAGTTATTTCAAGTGACAAAACAAAAATGTTGAAATTTTTACAACAAAAAATCCCACGTTAAACAGTTAAAACGTCACTTTTTAATGCTAATTTGATGATCGCTGTATTTATTGATGATAGAGTAATGATTACCATCAATCCGAATCTGTCTAGACATGGACATTGAAAATGTCTTAGTTTACTTTTACTGCGTTCTTATTATGTTATTTAGTTGTTTTTATATGAAACGAGGTCTACGACCGACTCGTGACTTCAATTCAATGATTTGTTTTCTGGCCTTTAACCCGTATCTTTCCGTGTTTCTTGTAAACGTAAACGTAAAGATAGCTTTTGATTACTTCACTCTGTATTGGCAAATGTAGGATATATAATATGACAAAGATCTCTTTGTTTTTAGACGTCTAATGATAACATGAGAATTAATTATAAAACATATACAATTAAACGCATCTTAGATAATGTAACATCTATTGAAACATATAATGAAATAAAGTTTTATGGTCAACTGATTTGATTAATATGCGTATGTAATGTAGGCTACTTCTCAGAATCTTCTATCGATGTTTTTTTTTAATATGGCTAGTACTATTAACTGAGTAATTAATTGCCGTGTGAATATGTGTAGCCATAATAGAGATAACTCATCATAGAACAATCGACTGCGTATCTCCTTCTCTAGAACTGTTCGTAAACTGTTTTAATGACTTTAGTAAGATTCAAAGGGGACCTACGACATTAGGTGACCTACGACATTCCAACTTCTCGTGCATGAAACATCTCAATATGTACATGAAAGTCTTTTGCAAAAGTTGCCTAATTTTCACAACCAAACGCCGTAAACACGGCGCCAGTGAAGCCTTATCTATCGGTGATTATTTCTTTATACTTAACAGCAATATCCTCGTTTAAATATACAAACGTACTTATCCAACAATTTATATTGTAATTGCTAGTACGACTACGAAATTCATAAGTCCAATGATTATAGCTATAAGAGCACAATTGTTAGTTGACCGCATCTGTTGCTAGCTTTGCAATCTTTAATAAATTGGAATCGACATTTTTTTGTATGGCCATTAGATAAGAATAGCTAATGCCGACATTGCAATAACGCACCGTGATTTCTTCGTGAACGTTCATTCGACCCACGCAAAAATAAACCTATAGATCACTCATTTTCATTTCTCAGAACTGGTCAACCGCAGACCCGCAGTGCATAGCAACCGTTGCGCAAGGTTAATACGCGCGGTCATAATATTAACAACCAATCAGAAGACGTTACAGCCGTGACGTCAGCGACCACGCCTGCGCGCGCCTCCACGCGCCGCCATTATTATCGCTACTCATGCACTGTGAAAATACGAAACGTTACGTTGGCAGCGATAACAATTGAACTGTTTATGAACAAGCCCCCTTGACGTCGAAATATGATTGCCGAGTTAGATAACTCGCAAAAGTGTTAATAAGAGTCAAGGAGACGGTCTTTAAACACATTGCGCTGCTTGACCTATTTAATTGCCACTTTGCAAATACCTACTACGTCAGACATGTTTTACGATCTTGTTTGCGTTCAGGGCCTGGTTTAGTGATTTGCACTTATTAAAGACTTTCATTGAATTAGGTACAGAAGAAAACAAACCAATCACTATAAATTTTAAAAACAATAAGTTATTTATAACGTCACTCACCCATCATGTTTGACATGAATTTAGATCTGTCCATGGGAGGTATCCACTTTGAGGCCATCGGAAGAATTGCTGGCCATGTTGCTCCCAACATAAAGCCGAGAACTACCCTCACAGCTACCACCCATCCAAAACCCAAGGAAGCTGCAGCTGGAGTAAAAAGGGTGAGCAAGCTAGCCAGCAAAGTGCTGTAGCCAAACACCCGCCTGTTAAAAAAAAGTGAATTCAGTTATCACCTTGTGGGATTCTAAAATAATTTATTGTAAATTGAATGAACCTGTAAATTCCGCTATTATTTAGTGCAGGTTTCATTGCATTTAAGATGAAATGCTTGAGGAAAAAAACAATGTACAATTCTAAGATATTGATTTCTCACTGCAGGTAGAGTAAAAGACGTATTATTATTATTTAAGGCACAATATCTTTTGTCTCTCAAGGTGAACGGATTTCCAATTTTTCATTATTGTCTCCAGACAACAGTAACTTAAAATATTGTATCATCGATTTATACGGCAGGTGTAAAGTTTAGAATATTCTCAGCAGTCATATGCCTATTTCATAAAATTACTAATGAATACATACTCAGCGTAACGCTGTAATATAGTGTCCATCATAAGTTACGAACGATAATGGTCGTATGTACCACAAAAGAGTTTGTGTAGACTATTGAAGAAGTATATTTATAAAATGTTTTACACTCGGCTCAAAACAGAGCCAACCTTACATTAAATCACTTTTTGATATAATTTAGCCAAAACTCTAAAAAACTTCAACATTGGTATGTTGAGAATTCACACAACCATCGCCCACATCGTTCTTCATAAAAAGGAGCACGCTAACATTTTCACAAATGATTGCGTGCGTGTGATACGATAAGTGTCCGCAAATCCGCTCCTGCGCACACTCCGCCGCGGCTCTCTGGCAGGGACAAGCAAGCATACCGAGAACGTTCCACATGAATCATCTTCAGACATTGTATGTAACACGATACTCCCATCTGAGTGAATAATTACAATGACTGTTTTATCAAGTTACCAAGATTTATTTTTATAATTAGGTACAAGCAGTAACGAATATTTTGTTGAAAATATCCCAACCTTAATCAATTATTTAATATTTTTAAATTCTTATATCTTTAAATATTTAATATTTTTAAATACCTTAATATTATGTATTCTCTAAATCAAAAACGTTCTTTTGAATTCAAATTTAATGGAAAAGATTTATTCCACCTAGTATCAGACTCAGTTGTTTATAAATCTTAATACCATTATAGCAAAATCATTTAATCGAAATCGTATTATATATAGACTTGTTAAAGGAATTGATTGCTGACATTTCATTAAGTCAACTATCAATTTATTTAACGAGCCAACAACGATAACTATATCATTCATACTAACGAACATAATATCTTAGTTCAAATCGGTGGCAAGGACCAAAAGTAAGCAATAAGACTCATTGACTTGTCTCGATCTTCATATTAACTATCTACTAGAAAGTTCGGCGTGTACCTATTAATTCATATCAAGTAGTAAATTAAAATGATCTCATCATTACCATCTTATGGTGCCTTTACGTTAAAAGGAATATAAATACCACAGTTTCCATTAAGCTTTTAAAAGATTTCTCTCCAGGAACAATTTATCACATTGAAGGACTCTTTATTATGTAAGGTCAATGACATAATACAGGTTCTCCTCAATAAAATACATATTACTTGGCTTCTTATGAATGTTCATGCAACAATTCAAAATAATTACTTGCGAGTCGGAATTCCAATTGGTTATCCTGAGCATATTTTTTATAACTCTTCTTTTTATTTAGTTCCATGAACCGAGGTTGTTAACCGAAATCAAAGACTTATAAACAGGATTGAGGCGTTAATTTAACTCAGCAGTTTAGTTGCATTTTTTTCCTTATGAAGGCACTATCCATTGATTGACAATGTCACGATTGATCAGTAACATTAGATAATACTGGAAACACACCGAAAATAACAACTGATAAATCATTGAATTTAAAGTTAGCAGGCCAAAGCACATGGTCGTAGTGTATATAACTTACGAAAAATTATTTTGAAATTGCTACACCAAAAGAAGACCTTAACCATTCTGACGATGGCACAAAAAATTAACGATTAATGGTCCAATTAATTTCATATTTTATCCTTAAGTTCATGAATAAGTCTTGATAAGTCAAGTAATAAAAAAAACGAACGAGCCTTACAGTAGTCGCATATGATGCGTAAAATTTGAAACCTCACCTTATATTAGTAAAAAAAGAAATAAAACCTACTACAAAAGGAGTAAGCCATTTGAACATTGTTCTAAAATCAAATCAAATAGCGCGCGCTTTCGCGACTTCCTGTTACACACTTCCATCCCATTTCACGAAATCACTTCCACAAATTGCAGGAAAGCGAGAGGAAAGATGTTACACATCAAAAAAAAGCTTACCTAGCGCCAATGATTTCTGCGAGGCGACCACCTGGAAGTTCTGTGAGAACGTAGCCCCAGAAGAAACAGCCAAGAAGATGGTTCTTCTGCTTTGTGTCCCAATGGTAACGGGTCTGTTGAATGTGTTCTGGGTGCTGTAAAATAAATAATATATCAACAACAACATAGTAAACAAGTATCAATGGAAACTTATTGTTAGCTTGTTGTTGTTGTACTTCACATTAATTAGTAAACTAAAGATCAACAATACGAACACGTGACAACTGTTCAATGAAAGAACAACCTTAAAAAAATGCGTATTTAAGAGAATGAGGAATATATGTACGCTGTAAGACATCGAAACATGTATTTCATTTAAATTTCTAAGAATTACTAATTCTTAACTCACAAAATAATTAACGAAATAAAGGCATTGGTCACCTGTGTTACGTTCAAGGTGTCGTGGGTGGCGTTTACGATCAGCGCTGTGGCGTTGTCCTTGACATCGTAAATCATTTCCACTATGGCAATGGTGAGGTTCACACGCAGGGCATAGTTGAGCATGAAACCCAACAGCACCATTATATTCAACACTTGGACACATGTTAAACAACCTGCAACAAAAGAAAATCACTTAAGTGTGAGGGTAATGAAATCTGTACCCTAAGCATGAACCAATATCGAATTCGTAACGTTTGCGAGTCCGAAATGTCATTGTCAAATGTGTACTGATTTTTAGGTCTCGTTGCGTACTTTGTGCCGCTGCTGTTCAAGTTTCCATACAAATTTGACATTGACATTTCGGTTTGCAAACTATTCGAATTCGATAATGGTTCGTGCTAGGGGTACTGATGACGAGATCTAGACGAGATAAAATAAAAAGCCGCACACAAGAACATGAAAAGCTAAATTAACATCCTATAATGTACACAATATTGACTTTATTGATTTTTAAGAATCTCATTAAGTTCATTCATTAGATTAAAATGGTACACATTGATACGCAGAAACTTCGCATGTTCTTGAAATTAAAAAATAATATCAAAGTCAAGGAAGTGAACGTTTTGAAGTTGTTTCCGAGCTCGCGTCAAGCTGGTTTCCGGTATTATGAGAACGTATTTATATGTATTTATAACAAATGAACAATATACACGTATGTACAGCAGTCACGACTAATAAATAGTAGTACATAAGAATTTTTAACTGAAATAGTTATCTTAGTAGTCTGCTGTACGAAAACAGCGTTAATAACACATACCTATTAGTATGAAACGATGCAACATAACGCTATACACAATCTTTAGCAAAAAACATGAACAAAATATTTTACTAAAATATTTACTAAGAAAAAGAGATTGTAAACGTTTATAATCTACAATGAACTCTTATTAACTATTTATTATTGTTTACTATGTTGTTAGAAAATAAAATAAAACGCATAATCGTCCCTCCTTCCTGCAATGTGCAATGCAATTAATAAGCATAGAAGAATAAATTTACATTTAAATAGATCAAATAACTGCGTGACTTGCAAAACTCTTTTATTTTAATATAAACTAAACGTTTGGTCTTAAAATATTTTGAATAGTCCAGAATATTTTATCTGCTAACCTTTTCAGGAACCAAAGTGAAAAATGAATGAATGCAGGTAAGTAAACAACATTTAAATAAAAAACGTGTTTATGAATCTACAAAATAAGTATTCTGCATTGCAGTAATGCAATAATCAAAAACTAATAAGACCACGATTTGCTCATCTGCATGTTTAAACATGGACATTGCACACATTGTGCAATTAAATAACAGCAAATTACTGTAAAGTGCTTTATATTTTCTCAAGATAACAATAGTTGGGATTGAATTGTAGTTCCTAAGAATCGTGATAAAAATTAAGTGAAACATATAATAAACCTCCTATATATTGATAAAAACAATATCAACAGACGTCAATATCAAATAAAAAATATTAAATATCTCAATTGCACGAGTAAACCTAGTCAATTTATTGATTGAATAAGAGTCCTGAAATATTATTACTCGAGCCAAAATCTAACTCACACGCAACCACGCAATTCATGGAAGATTGTTTGATAGTTTCGACATTTTTGTTATTGATTATTTGCGATACTTTTCATCAACAGTAGAAAAAAAAGTTAGTCTGATTGAAAAAGTACAAAATGAAACAGTTTCTTTATTTCACGAAAACGAGGTATAAACAGAAATTCAAGTGCCTATCGTGATTTTGAAATAAAACTCTGCGACACGTTGTTATACAAATAACTGCACAATTTATTGGGCTATATCTATAAATATGTAAGTATTACAGTGTCATTGAGTAACTATTACTTACTATACCTACTGAAGTATCACAGAATGATGATAAAATTATTGACAATATTATTAAGCAAGAATACAATATTATTTAGATTGATAGCGTTAAAAAGCGTATAAAAAAATTTTTGTATGTAGAGGACAAATTGGTATGAATATTGATGCGACTGAATAATAGTTTCTGCTTACGTACGTACCTATACCTACAAAAAAAAACAACTTCTTTTCATTCATCGAGCGACGCACAAAAACATATTTTCCAGTGTGAGAATCGATTAAGCGCCCTCTAACAAAACCAACCCACTTTAAGACCGGTCACGGTTGTGCATATTTTTAGACATAACATACCAGTATATTCAAACAAAGATAAAAATATAATATGTATTGTGAATACTGACGCAGTCCAGCAGACGAAAATTCACGTGACCGAAGGCCGCGATAAGTTCAACGAACTAAGAGTATATTGATGAACTAAGATCGAAATTTTAACTTTTCTTTAATTTACATTTACGTTACTGAAAAAAAAATATATAGCTAAAACTTGCAGACATATCCAGCGGCGCGGGACCGTCACAAAACAGACCGTAAACTTATTACTGACAACAGGTTGTGAAACCAACAAATAATTTTTTTTCATGTGAAAACTCTTGCCTTTGAAACGATTTTCTGGGTACTGTTTTCATCATCATCATCAGCCTATTAATGTCCCCACTGCTGGGGCACAGGCCTTCCCTGTGGATGGAATAGGGAGATTGGGTCATGACCCACCACGCGGGCCCAGTGCGGATTGGCGGGTGTTAACAACTGCAGATACAGCCGGGACCAACGGCTTAACGTGCCTTCCGAAAATCACGGAGGAACTTTTTGGTCACCCATCCAATGACCGACCACTAACAAAGTTGCTTAACTTTAACGATTGCAGCCGAACGAGCTGACCACCTGCGCCATCGAGCTCCTCCTGGGTACTGTTTTAGTATTTCTTATTTATTTACAAGTAAAGGAAAACAATAAAGCTGTTTTTACGAGGGTACCTAACGCTATTGTCACTTAGAAATAACTAAGATGAAATTTGCGAAAAGGGGCGATTTTTCACGAGAAAACGTTGACGGTCTTTTTTGTGACAGTCTCGCTGGTGGATGTGTCTGTAACAATGTCTGCTAGTTTCAACTTCGTAAAATTATTTACCTCTAAATATATATCTAAAAATAGTACTATGACGTATTATTGTTTGCTTTGCATTTCACAACGCAAAGTTGCGTGGCTAGCGTATGGGAATTACTCAACTCAAATAAAACACTTACAATTCCTACAGTTAAAAACAAAGAATGGGATTTATGAAATATTATAGGAATACTAGCTGTCCCAGGAAACTTCGTACCGCCATAAAAATAGGGGTTGGTGGTAGAAAAGTGAAAATTTAGGGTTGTATGTATTTTTAGATGTATCATAAAAAAAATAAAAACAAAAAAATATCCAAAAACAAAATTAAGGGTGGACCACCACCCTTAACATTAAAGGGAATGAAAAATAGATGTTGTCCGATTCTCAGACCTACCAGAATATGCATATAAAATTTCACGAAAATCTGTATCGGTAGTTCAATTACGCACACCTTGACACGAGAATTTTATATATTAGATACTACTTTGGAATAACCGCAAGAAGTGTTCATACAAAAACATGCGGTTTTCCTGCCGCAGTTTGGTACGATTTTACGAAGTCTCATGGTTGTTTCTCGCTCGGCTACTGCCTCGTTTATATGAACAAAAAAGTAGGTAAGGTTTCCTACCTAATATTGAACCACGGACGAATACTATTGATCCATGACTAAGAAAAATAAATGTTATATTCCACACAGAAATCAGATATATATATATATATATATAATGTAATAACAACAGGTAGTGTCGCAAACGATTAAGTGTAGCTGGAATGAGCATTATTGCCCTGGAAGAAGGTTAACAACTAGTGCTGTCAGGTCCGATTTGTTTTAAATCGTTACATGAGGTCAAAAAAATCGTGATCTACGGTTGCAGATCGGGACAGTAAACAAAAAATAAGGGGTTTTTTAAGTCATTGCGTTTACTTTTTAACTTTTTAATTTTTTGATTAATCGGGACACTTAGCATCCCATTCAGGTACAAATCGGGACGCGTCCCTCCCCCGTTTCCACCCCTGAAAATCGGGACACCTGTACCCTTAGTACGAGTTTTACAAATACGAAAACTATGATAGGTTTCGTGAGCTCGCACTCGTACTAAGTGTACTGATTTTATTGTTTTCGTTTCAATACAAATAAACAGTGTTTAAATTCTATCATTAAATCATTTGCGTCTTCTTAAGTTTAAAGTATATTTGATTACTTTTCACCAAAATGGACATAGAAACATTATTTACAATTACGAAAACTATGATAGTTTTCGTGAGCTCAAACTCGTACTAAGGGTACTGGCAACACTATTAACAGCTGAAGCAAATACGCCTTATCATACATTCATCTGTCGAGGATTAAGTTTAAGTTCATCTCAATCCCATGGTCTCAATCCGTTATAATAATTGTGCGGTAGCATCGAGGGCGAAGAGATCATCACATTTACTGCAGTTCAGAAAAAAACAGAGTGTCACCAGATAATATTACCGTGGTTTCACCCTCCCAAGCCGTTCATAATGGCACATCATAATAATCAACGTTACGAAGTTGTTAGTATGTAATTTTTTAAATATTTGATAGTCGTGAAGGGACATGAAAATGACAGTTATGTGCATAACATAAATTACTACAATACTAATTATGTTTTATTCTTATTCCTTTGTCTTATACGTTAAAAATAAGATACAATAACAAAAACTTAGTAGATGTGTCTAAAAACAAAGCTTTTTTCAACATCGGCGTAGCAGCCAAGCATACGAAAGTCGTAGTTTTTACTAGTTTTCATATTAATTTTCTCGCGTCATCGTCCTTTGTTTAGAAAATGTGAAAAAAAAATTGGCAACGCGTTCTGCGGCAATCTATAAATAAAGAACAGACTCCATTTTATGCAAGACTTTCATGAATAAATATTTTGGAATCAAGACTTTTATAATAGTGTCTTAAAACATCGCAGTGTCTTTTTTATTCAAATAATGACCACCGAGCTATATGTTTTTATGAGCTGTTTCTCATAAAATAAATATAAAACAGTTTCTCGTAAAATTACATATATAAACAAATAAAAGATATTTCCTTACCACAAGGACGAATCAGTTACAATATAGACCGTGAAAGAACTGTTTTTAATACTGG